CTAACGGCCTGCAGTGTTGTTAGTGCCGCCCTGGTCGGGGCTTTAAAAACAGCTGATTTCGACTGCAGCTCGCCTCGAATTTCCAAAAGATGCACGCGGTCACACACACAAGCAAAGGATCAGATTGATTTGAATACGCACCAGAAAATGAAATGGAAACCAGAATTATATTTTATTCCGCTATCTCTCCCACTTCTTGTTTCGTATGTTTCGTATGTTCACTACGCACTTTCCGCTCCGCGTGTGAATACGTACACGAGTGTGTGTGTGCGTGCGTGTGTTGTTATTGTTGCTTGCTTTTGCTTTTGCGGGTTTCCTCGCACACACACTTTCGCACTGCTACGCTCCTCGAATAGCTGCCTCTCGCTCGCACTCACTCACGCGCTGGTGGACAGAACGTTACGAATATTATTTATCGCGTTTTTTTCGCAATTGCGCACACACTCGCTGAGTTGTTGGTTGCACCGTACTTTCGCCGTTCACTGGTCTTGTCAATTAACCACAATTAATCAATTAATTGGAGCATTATACCGCCGAAACGAAAATCAAAATCGGTTACCAGACATGTGGTTCTACGGGTCCAAAAGAAAAAGAGCAGGGTTGTTGTTCAATTCGTTTGCGTTGCGTTTCGATAGCTATCGTCCGCTGCGATAGCTACGGTTAATAGAGATGTCCAAATCGGGGAGCAATGGATTTTATATATTTTTTGTTGTTTTAAAATATGGTTCTGGAATTTTTTCAAGTTTAAATTACTTTTCTAGAACTTATTTATTTTCCCATGTTTACTCCTTGATTTGAAATCAAAACAAGATAGAATGCTATAGTCCAGTTCCTCGACTATCAGATACCCGTTACTCAGCTAATAAAAGTGCAAACGAGAATTTTCAAAATTTTCTGGAATATCGGTAGAAATTGGGAAAACTTAAAAATTGTTGAGATTTTTGTGCAGCTTGTGGACGTGGAAAATAGTTTTTGGCAAATCTATAGAAATTTACAATATCAATAAAAATTTTAAAAAATATCACAACGTTTTTCAAAAGTGTGGCCGTGACAGTTTTGTGCGGCCCGTGGGCGTTGAAGTGGGCGTGAAAAAAAGTTTTTTGGCAAATCTGTAGAAATTTACAAAATATATATAAAAAAGAAAAAATATCACATTCTTCAAAAGTGTATCCTGATCAATGTGGTCCTTTATGTGGTCGGAAACATTTCCTTCTGCCTGTTACATACTTTTCAATTTTGTATACCCTTTTACTCTACGAGTAACGGGTATAAATAAAATATTCAAATTTATGCGATCTATCGATTTCGGTATACCATTTATTTTAAGGAATAATACATTTTTATTCCGTTAGGATGCTTCAAATTTAAAATATTGCTCAAAATGTATATAAACAATTGTAATTATATCTTAAATTCACGTGTTAACATAACGTAAGAAAAATATTTTTACGTATACAGCAATAACGTGACGTGGCGTTCGACTTTTAAAATATCGAGCTTAAAATGTTTAAAATATGTTTAATGCCAGATAAGCATTTTATGTGAAAAAGAGCTTTAGTTTTTATAATTAGCTGTAGAGCAATGTATTTCGATATCAAAATATATTCAATGTTAAGACACTTTCCATTGTACTTTTAATTCAAACCAACAAGATACTTTTAAAGAAAAACTGGAAATATTTATATTTCAATTGCACATTCACAAAAAGTAGTGGGTCCACAACACAAAGGGTCAGTATAGGCTACAAATGCTACAAATGCAGGGGTTAAACAGACTCGGCTTCAGCCGGATGGGGCACAGTGGGTTAAAGGGATAAGGGCCGAATTTCGATCCGAGAAAATACCAGAAGATTTCAACTTAAGTCCTAGGGTTTGTTTTTGTTTTTCTTAGGCAGATACTAAAATGGAATTCTTGAGGCGGCGTGAGCCGGGTAGCTGGGTTGCCTACTCCACGGTCACCGACTTGGCCAGGTTCCTGGGGCAGTCCACGTCGCATCCGCGTAGCACGGCGATGTGGTAGGACAGCAGCTGGAGTGGAATCACCGTGAGCACTCCCTGCAGACAGTCCACGGTCCTGGGGATCTGCAGCGAGCGCGTGGAGAAGGCCATGGTCTCGTTGTCGCCCTCCTCGCAGATCAGGATCGGTCTGCCCTTGCGGGATGTCACCTGCTGCAGGGCATTCATGCACTTGGTGTACACCGGATCCCGCAGCACGATCATCAGCACGGGCATCTCGTCGTCCACCAGGGCCAGTGGTCCGTGTTTCAGTTCTCCAGCCAGGATTCCCTCGCTGTGCATGTACGTCAGCTCCTTCACTTTCTGCAATGGGAAAGTAAATTGGTTAAATTTAGCTCATAAAGCGTGGAACAAACATAATGATTAGTTGAAGTGCACTTGGTAAAGGGTATAATACTGCAATAAACAAGTTAATTGATTTGTTGACATAGGTTATTTTCCATCAAGCGATACAATTACGTTCCAGTGCATATATAAGGATGCATAAATGAGATCTGATTAAATTAAAGCTTAAAATTGATTAAATGGATTACCAGAGCTCCCTCCAAGCAGGTGGCGAAATTGAAGCCCCTGCCCATGATGAGCAGCGACTTGTGCTGGTACAGCTCCTTCGCAAGCTGCTGAACCTGCGAGTTCAGCTTCAGGACAGTCCTAATGTGCTCGTCCAGCTGGGATAGACCATTGATGATCTCCAATCGGCGCTGTTGCAGGGAGAGACGATCCTCCGACATGACTAAAGCGAACATAACCAGCGAAATGAACTGCGAGGTGTAGGCCTTCGTGGAGGCCACTCCGATCTCGGGTCCAGCGTTGATGTGGACGCCACAGTGCGACTCGCGACAGATGCTGCTGCCCACCGTGTTGGTAACGCCCACGATGAGGGCTCCTCGCTGTTTGCAGTACCTGAGGGCCATCAGGGTGTCCGCTGTCTCACCCGATTGCGAGATAAAGAAGCACACGTCGTCCCTGAAAATGGGCGTATTCCTGTCCAGGAAATCAGAGGCCAGTTCCACCATTACGGGCAGTTCGGTCAGTTCCTCCAGCAGCTGCCTGGTGGCCACTGCACTGTGGTAGGATGTGCCGCACGCAATCAGCATCAGGCGGCGGCAACGCTTGATTTCCGGTATGTACTCCTTGATGCCACCCAGAACGACAGTCTGCGTATCGAACCTCATCCTGCCGCGCATGGTGTTGACCACTGATTCCGGCTGCTCGAAGATCTCCTTGAGCATGAAGTAATCGTAATTGCCCTTCATGATCTGCTGGATCTCCATCTTCAAGGTGATGATCTCGCGGGCGTGCGGATCATCGGAGGATTTGTTTAGGCGATGAATGCTGAGGGTGCCATCGTTCTTGACGGCGGCCACATCGTCATCTTCCAGGTAAATCACCCTATTCGTGTGCTCTATAACGGCCGAGGCGTCTGAAGCGAAGAAATACTCCACTTCCTTGCGCTCCAGCGGCTGAAACTCGGCACTGCAATCGCCGGCCGGCAATACTTGATAGGCCTGCTGCTGCGGCTGACCATGTGGGCGATGCGCCTTGGCGTACAGGATGGGTATGTGATCGGTGGCCAGCTTGGTCTTGGCCTTGATGCCCACCAAGAGCGGCGATCCCCGCCTGGAGGCCACGCACTCCCCTGGGAAGTGACTTGACTTGAAGGCGATAGCGAAGGCGCCCTCCAGCTGCTGAATGGCCTGCTCCACAAGCTCGCCGAAGGTGTAGCCAGGATGCTGCTGCCACAGGTGGTGGACCAGCTTGGCAATCACCTCCGTGTCCGTGTCGGACTCGAACACATAACCGCGCTTCTCCAGCAGGGTCTTCACGTCCTTGTAGTTGGTAATAATGCCGTTGTGCACCACCACAAAACTGTTTTCCTCATCGGATCGCTGCGGATGTGAGTTGACCTCGGAGGGCACACCGTGGGTGGCCCAGCGCGTGTGTGCTATGCCAATGTGGGTCTCGATGGGCAGGGAGTAGTCCTGGCCCAGGCAAACCTCCGCCACCGCGTCCTCCAGGACCTTCACCTTCCCCGTTCGCTTCACCAGCATTATGGACTGTGCCTCGCCAGAGTTCAGCGCATCGATGGCTATGCCAGTGGAGTCGTAGCCGCGGTACTCCAACCGCTTCAGTCCCTGCAGCAGGAGATCCAGGACCTCCTGTCGCGACTTGGGCGTCAAGTAATTTAGGTACGCGAATATGCCACACATTCTGAAATGCGATTGCTCGTCTTGAAATTTTCGGGTGATTCGTGGTTTTCCACGTCGCAATGTAAACTTTCCGGTCAGCTGAGGCTGATCGTTCGCTTCTGAGGCGGCTGCAATGCGATTGTCGTGTTTTTATCGCGACACTGGCTGGAATTTTTTTGTTTTTCTCTGATAAACCAATTATTTGCTTTTTCGGCGGAAAGAACACGTCTTCGCCTTGCTCTCTCGCTCGCACTCACGCTCGCGCCGCCCTTGCGCCGCTCGTGCGCTCTCGTTCACGCACACAGTTACACCCACACGCTAGTTGCCATGTAAACATTGGCTTTGTGTGACCGTATTCCAGCCAGGGATGGAACGGCGTCTGTAGAGAATTTATATTTTTTTTTCGAATTGTTCCTTTTGAAAATTTAATAAACATTAAAAATTATTTACAAATGTATCATCTGTCTATTTTATCGGGCCAAGGTAAGAATAATATTACCATAAAGACCCAATTTCAATTCATTGTTGGGTTGAACAACATAATGTTTTTCTCGAAAAAATGCGCATTGAAACTATATTTCCAACCGTGTTCCACCAATATTGCGGATTATATTCAAAAGCATTATCTGATAATTGGTTACTGAAAGTCTCCAATTAAATGTTTTGACTTTATATAACTCCGATATTTCTCTATTATAGAGAGCAAATACAAATTTTTTAACAAATTTGACAAAAAATAAAATAAATAATAAAATATCGATACCTAATAATTTGCCAAACATAATGGACATCGATATTTGTAACTGTATGTTTTTGACATCCCAAGTTTTAAAAAGAGTTGGCAACGCCGACATTGTGCAACGCGAAAACGGCGAGGAATACGTATTAAACAGCATTTATTAGCAAAAATCTGCGGAAATAATGACGGTAAACAAGCGCGACGCGGGTGCCACGCGATCGCGGTGCTTCTTCGACATTTCCCTGGGCGGACTGGGCGTGGGCCGCATTGTTTTCGAGCTCTTCAGCGATGTGGCGCCCAAGACGGCCGAGAATTTCCGCGCACTTTGCACGGGCGAAAAGGGATTTGGCCTGGTCACCGGCAAGAAGCTGCAGTACAAGGGCGTGATATTCCACCGGGTGGTCAAGGACTTCATGGTCCAGGCGGGCGACTTCTCCGCGGGGAACGGCACCGGCGGCGAGTCCATCTACGGCGGGACATTCGAGGGTGAGTTCTTCCGGTTATACATACATACATACATATATGTATGCGTCTGCCGCTGTTTGTGGGGGAAAAAATCAATACAGTGGGTATCTGATAAGAGGAACAGGATTTAAGAAGCCTAGATTCAGAGAAAGCCAAATAATTGGGGGGATAAATTTAAAAAATGTACATTAACAAAGATACTTAGTCCAACCAATTACACTAAACTACACTACAATAATCCACTTAAGTTTAACAAGCTGCAAAGATTTAATCTGTTTAGGAAAGGCTATAAATCTTTGGATGTGTCCTTATTTCCATATGCACCAGCCAAAATGAACAAATACCCCATTTAAATGTCAAAAATAAATGCGCATTTCGCATGGTCACTCAAGCGACTCAATTTAAATGTACATTTTGGCATATATTTCCATTAGAAATATAATGGTGCACATTCATTATTGCTAATTATACGTCTAGGTGGAAAATAAGTGGAAAATGGGTCAAATATGCAAATAGAAGCGGATTTAGGGAACTCCAATTACATGCACATTAGTTGTTTAGAAGATTGGGTTTTCGGGGTGCTCATCTGGGGCTTTTGAGTACCATGTGTATTTAAAGTGAATTTGGTTTAAACAATCGTATTCCTCTTCGCAGATGAGAGTTTCGAGAAGAAGCACGATCGTCCCTTCCTGCTGTCGATGGCCAACCGGGGCAAGAACACCAATGGCTCGCAGTTCTTTATGTAAGTGCTCTCAATGGAGGTCCGTAACCGGCTGGTCCGGACTAACGTGGCCGTAAATTTAGTTTCAGTTCTGTTTCAGGCACCGATAATTCAGCTAAACGTTCTTCGCCTTCTTTTTGATCTATACTTAAACCTCTGTTGTTGTTCATTAATCTATTGCCATTTAGCCTTAGCCCGTGGGCAGTAAAGTGTGAGCTTGCGTCCCACTGACCAGCGGACAGATGCATCGCAATCTGTCCTCCAACGGCCGATGCACCGCCATCCACCATCCCCAGTGCAGCTGGTCTGTGGGTCCATAAACCAAGTGAAAGACGATGCAGATGTCTTTCAGCTCACTGGTCTTTGGTCTCTGGGGCTCGGTCCTCGGTCCTCGTTCCTCGGTCTCAGTGTGTCTATCTCTCTCTCGGTCTCGGCTCATTGTGGATCTTTGCCGGAATCTTGGTCTGGATCCTCCCCAATGGATCTGCCAGATGACGATGTGCTAGCCATGGCCAACTGCAGCGACTCTTGTGGTTGGTGGCTTGCCAAAATCATGTGTGCCATCTCTGCCTACACATATGTAGAAACCTTTAAACTTTGTTGCACATGACATTGTCTCCACCTCAACCGACAACAACAACAACGACAACTGAACCAACAACACCGATTTCAACTACAACTGCCTACTGCAGCCCAACAACCAGTTAGCCAAAGTGTAAAGAATATTTTTCTCTTCTTCTGTTTCTCATTGTAGTACAACACAGCCTGCGCCACATTTGGACAAGTAAGTTAGCTTTGAGCACATTAAATAGATCACAATAATAACGACATGCTTCCTCGTTGCAGTATCCATGTTGTATTCGGCCAAGTTATATCCGGTCAGGAGTTGGTGCGACAATTGGAGGATTTGCCCGTCGATCGGAACTCTCGCCCGCTGCAGGATGCGGCCATTGCCAACTGTGGCGAACTAGTTAGACAGACAAAGGGTACGACTGCCATCTATTTTCACATACCTCCTATACTTGACATGCCTTTCGCCACTTAGCCAAAAAGGAGAAGAAGCGAAAGAGGCGCTCCACGGCCACTGAGGACTCAAAGAGCGAGGAAAGTGAGGCTGAGGCCAAGGCCGAGCAGAAGGACAAGAAGAAAAAACGCAGCCGCAAAGATTCAAAGTCCAGCGAAAGCGAAGAGTATGTGATAGTGCCATATCTTGTATATACTTGGTTTATGGTTCTTATTTTGTAATTGTTTCACATTTGCATAGCAATGAAGCAAAACGGGGCAATGGAAAGCATGAGCAGAATCCGCAGGATGATGACGAGGACCGCGAGGAAGGCGAGCTGCATCCGTTGGTCACAATCACAAAGATAGATCCTAACGAGATACCAGAGGTAACTGAAATGAATTATCTTTTCCTATGATTGAATATCCATATTCCCATACCCTTCTGTATTCAGGTATCGAACAAATTCCTAATGCGCGCGGAGCGATCCAAGTCGCGAGATCGTGAGGACCGTGGAGTTCGCGGACAGGATCGCGATCGAAGCAGGGATCAGGATAGAGAGCGCAATCGTAACCACTTCGGTTGGTCAAAGAAACAGGCACCGCCCACATCGCGTAGCGGTCGCATTGTCAAAGGTCGCGGAGTGTTTGTTAGTATAGACAACTATTTGTAACTCCACACAATATCTAACACAAAAACTCTTCACAGCGCTTTCGCACCCCGTCGCGTAGTCGTTCGCGAAGCACTACGCCACCTCACTGGAAACATGCCCAAAAGCGGACCATCAAGTTGTCCGACTTGGAGCGCATTGAGGAGGAGACCAAGATGCGCGAGGAGGAGGTGAAGCGTCGCGAGCATGAGAGGAAGCGTCGCCACGAGGAGGCCACAAAGAATCCCAAGCAGTCGTTTTTCGAGCTATCCCATGCCAGCACTTACGGTGGCAAAATAACTCCGGATAGGTTCTCTCCAGAGCACAAGCCCAAGTCAAAGGACGCCGCAGAGCGCGGTAAAGCCAAGGAGAGAGAAAAAGGCGGCGAAAAGGATAAAGCGAAGGATGTGACTCCTGTCAAGCGCCGCAAGTCGATGGACATGAACGCCCTGGACTACGAGCAGCAGACAGAAACCGAAGCCGAGTCCGAAGACGAGGAACAGTTGAAGGTGAAACCACCAACCAAGCAGGACATCAAAGTGGAGTCATCGGTCAGCAAGGATCGCAACGCTAAACGCGATGAGCGCAAGCCCGATGATAAAGCCAAGCCAAAGCGCAGTCGCTCCCGAAGCCCACGTCGCCAGTCCCCTTCACGTCGTCAGCAACGTTCGCCCGCCCGACGTCCTGGTCAAAACTTTAACCAGAACCAGAATCAAAATCAAAATCAGTTGAATCGGGGCAATCGCCGTAATCCGTTCGCGGACAGGGATCGCCGCCGTCGCTCGCGCTCACAGGATAATGAGTACCGCAATCGTTTCCCCCTGTCACCAATCAGAGGAAGAGGCTCGCCCAGTGGCGACCGCCGGCGGCAGCAGCGTTCCCGCAGTCAAAACCGTAGGCAGGATTCACCCAGCCAGAGGCGTCAGATGTCGCCGGGCAGAAAGCGTCAGGATTCGCCGGGTAGGAAGCGTCCCAGCTCAACGGATAGAAAGCGACGAGACTCGCCTGAAAGAAAGCGAGAGGACTCAAACGACAGGAAGCGAGAGGCTTCTCCCAAGCGCAAGGACTCCGCCAACAGAAAAATGGAGGATTCCCAAGACAAAAAGATACAGGACAGCAGCAAGCAGGAGGATACTGCGGGAAAGAAACGGGGGGATAGCCCGAGCAAAAAGCGAAAGGATTCTGATAAGAAGCGTCAGGACTCTCCTGTGAAAAGACAAGAATCGCCGGGCAGAAAGCGTCAGGAGTCGCAAGACAAAAAGCGGCAAGAATCGCCAGGCAGGAAAAAGGATTCTCCTGGCAAAAAACTCGCGGAGTCTGCCGACAAAAAGCAACAAGACCCGCTTGCCAAAAGACACGATTCACCAGGCAGAAGGCGTAAGGACTCGCCGGAAAGAAAACGCAGGGACTCGCCCGACAGAAGGCGCAAGGATTCACCGGCCAGACGACGCCAGGAATCCTCCGGCAGAAGGCGCCAGGACTCGGATGGCAGAAGACGCCGCGAATCGTCTGGCAATAGACGCAGTCGCAGCCGCGGACGCCGGCACAGCTCGTCGCGCAGTCGCAGTCCCTCAACCAGTCGCTCCCGCCGGCGCCGCTCGCGCAGCCCGCTGCCCAAGCTCACCTCCGCGCTGCCCATGAGCGAGGAACGCGAGAAGGCGGCCCGCGAGAAGATGCAGAAGCGTGCGGAGGCCGCGCTGCTGATGAAGGAGCACATGCGCAATGAGATCGCCAAGGAGGAGGAACGGCGCCTGGAGAAGCAGCGCCAGGACGACATGGAGAAGGAGCGCACCACCCGCGAGCTCAACGAACTGGAGCGCCTCAAGGCCGAGACGCTGAGGAAGCTGCAGGACGAGGAGCGTGTGGATTCCGTGGGCCCCGAAGCGGCTGCACCCGCCGGAAGTGAGGCCAAAACCGATGCCACCAGCACCAGCGCCCGGAGCAAACGCGAGTCCAGCACGGAGGATCGGCATCGCGACAAGAAGCGCAAGCATAAGAAGCCCAAGACGCGATCCATTTCCGAATAATCAAACTAATCCTAGACGTCGTAGTTGACACCCGAAAACTGCGCCAGACTTGGTCATGTTCCATCAATTTCAGGCCTCCACTCGAAATTGCAATTGTAAAAATCGCGACCCTCAAGTTTTTGTAGCTAAGTCCGTTTAATAAAGGTAAACGTCACTGTACTGATCCACTGTCGATTTATTTTATGCTTTTTTCTGAATTTGCAAACATGTTTATATTTTTCTTAGTTTACCTAACAAACTAACACGTGTCACGTGGTAAGCCAATAATTTAGAAATCTGAATAATGTTAAATTATTTTTATTTTGATTTTTACTACTGGTAAATATAATTTATGAAAGCCAAATATTCAAAAAATTTTATTTTCAATATTCCAAAGCCCTGGAAAAATTAAGCCTTAATAGCCGAGTTCCGCACCTAGCCTAGACAATGTGAGCTCGAATACTCTCATAGTGCTGCCCATAAGAAGGGTCCACTGGTATACACTGGCAGCACTCTTTCAGGAAGTTCCGGGCACTAGATGGCGCCACTTCTACAAGGACTTAAAGGACATTATGTTTCCATATTTTGTTAATTCTTTGCAGGCCTTCCACGCTAACGAACAATATCTATTACCTAATTTCTAATGCCTTTTAAATATTTGCTCCGAGCTTTTTATATTTGAAATATCTTTTTGAATCGCTTGCAATCAGAGGGCTTCTCAAAATAATCAAACCTTACACATACAAGCAGTTGTACAAAGTGTTATTGTTAAACAAATTACGCTGTACAACATATTTTTAATTTCCGAGCGGATTTGTCGGAACTGCAATTTTCGTAGTTGTTTAAACGCTCTAATTGCCAAGTGAATTGCATAAACACTCGTATATCCTCTGACCAAATTGCCCAGTGTTTGCCTAATATTCTTATATTTTATGTGCATTTCTTTCGGACCGAAGACGACCCTTTGGTTTCGAGAGACAAACAATGGCGAAGGAAGAAAAATAACAAAACTGCAAGTTCAACTTTTGGGCTGTGGGTTGTTGTGGCTGTCGTTGCAAGTTGCAGGTGCAGCATTCCACAGAAAACAAATGTGGCATAAAATGCAATATCTAGATATGGATTGCTACAAAAATGTATAGTGCTACATATTTTTCGACACTTTTATTAGTGATTTCCGCACAAAAGTGTTTTCCATTGCATTCTTTTATGTTTCAAAAATATCTATGTAGCACGTTTTGATGGATGTAAATTTGAACGTTACAATGTTTACTTATAAATCCTATTAAATTTTATTGATTAATTTCAGTTCACAATAGAGACACACACTTTTCGGCCTGGCATTTTGTTGGTTTTTCCTTGGGTGCCGGTAGTTCTTCTTCTTGTAGCTCGTGCGTTGCAAGTTGCCGATGTTGTTGTTGCGCCTAGGTGGTTGCTGGTTGCAAGTGCCACTGACAAACACAGCTGTCGAGTGCGGCGCTTAAATGGCAAGTAAACTGCAGCCGAGCGTTTGCTTTGCTAATTTTGCAGGCATTCTGCCTTTGCAGCCTCTTCTCTAGTGCCACACCTACTTGGCCCGCCCCCGCCCCGCCCACGCCTCCCCGACAATTGTGTGGGCGTGGCTGTGCACTTGCTGCTTATTATTTGCACTCGGCAAGGCCAACAGCATAATAAATTGGGCGACAGGAGGAGGCGGTTTGCTCGGTTCTGGTGTCGGGGTGAATCGGAAAATCTTTTATTCATGAATGCCGCCCCCAGCCACCCACTGCGTCCATAAAAATTGCACAATTTGAAGCGCTTTTCCCACTTTCCCCACGAGCCGCTTAGTCTGAGACATACGTCCAAAAAAACAACAAAAAAAAAACGAGAAAAATGGAAGACGAGGCGCCCAAGAAAAGAATTTACGCGCCTCGAGCGGCTCTCTCAAGGATTTCGGCAATGGCTCTCCTGGAGTCCTGCCCCACCCACTTCTGGCTGCAGGCGATAGTTGCATAAATCATAAAAGCCGCACTTGTTGTTGTCCTTGCAGCCACCCTCCCGCCGCCCCAGCCCCTCCCCCTACCCTCGCATCCCTGGCAGGACTTTACGACACTTAAGTAACGCAAGTGGGCGGCCTGAGTGCCGCCAAACGTCTGAATTTGATTGCATGGCCACAACAGCGACTCAAGAGGTGCCACTCCCACTCCCACTGCCCATCTCCATCAGCATCTCCTTCAGATGGATAAAGGATTCAACTCCCCGCGAAGAACTTGGCGCATTTATTTATGAAGGTCTAAAGGTCTACCGAAATCCAGCTCCGCCCGCCGATTTCGGTCTTCAAATTCTATTACCGGAATATTTGAGTGAAAGAGCGGCGATGCTGGAGGGAAATGTTCTTGTGCAGTGGATAAAGCATCCAACAGGTTGAATTCCCTAACCGAAATAGCGGATTGGTGACCATAACACTGGTTTGCAGCAATAACAAACTGCTGCCACTCGTTTCTCAAAGTTCTCAAAGATATACCACGTTTGTATTACCAAACTAAAGTAATGTACATTTCTGGGCAGAGCCTCAGCTCGATGAAGTATGAATACAATGGCTGTAAGTGCTTCATACGCATCAATTTATGTTTTGTTTCGTGTTTTAAAACTAAGAAAATCCTCGAAAACCGCTTAATGCAAGTGCCCCATTGGCCACCTGCCACCACCGACAACTGGCGCCCAACGAGCAGCACACTCGCCGCCATTTGAGGAGGGCCACGCACTTAATTTATGACTCGCCGTGCAATAATTCAAAGTCATAGGCCTCCAGAGGCCATTCAGGGAGCACTCGGCCACTCATTCGCTCAAGGGGCTTCTGGAGGGGCTGTTGGCCACACCTCGCTCTGCGGCGGCATTTTGCGTTGGAATTTTTAATTAAAATATTAAAGCATTGAGGCTGTGAGGTGTTTTTAATCTTGAAAATTGGTTTAATTGTTATTTAGGATTTGTTGCCGATGGCTGTTGTTGTTCTTCTTGTTGTTGTTGTTGGTCTTGCTGCCCATCTTGTTTGTGGTGCAATTTATGTGCGCCTAATTAGAACAGACACAGCCGCGGTGTCAGAGGCTCCCTCCTCACCATTCCTTGTTTTTCTGTTTTTCCGCCTTATACAAAGCCGCTTCATAATTACCATATTTTCAAATTACCATTGGCCGGGCCAGGGCCATGGTCGCCATTTTCCTTTGGGCCCGCGGCCATAAAAGCTAATTGTATGCGTGCGTGGCTCGAGCGGGGGGAGGGTGTAGGGGGGGGGGGTGGGAGTGTGGGGAAAGGTAAATCCTTGGCATGTTGTTTCCCCGGTGATTTATATTTAATTGTTGTCATTATGGTCATCAGAGAGCGTGTGAAGTTCCTGCAGGACCTGGCGGCACTCCACCACTGTCCTGGGATGATGGAGTGCCCCAGCTGCTGGCGGGAATTCTTTGAGTGTTGCCTGGGTCAACACGCTGACAGATGTCTAATTGCTGGCCAAAGTTTTCCCATAGCCAACGCGCTCTTTTCTAAGGACTTGGCGCTCTTAGCATTTCGCAAAGAGAGAATCCTCGTGTGGCGGAATGTTGGCATTGGAACAGGACATTCCCGGCGCATGACTTGCATCCATTTCCATGCCGTGCGGACTCGCCCAGCCATCGTTTGTGGCGCCTCGTTTCAGTTGCGGCCCGTTGATGGCTCCACCTGGTCGATGGGGGATTGCTTTTGGAGCTGGGCAGCCGCTGGAGCGTGAGTTTAATCGAATTTGAGCAGAATATACGATATTGATATTCATTAAATTAAATGCAATTAAATTCGACTCTGATTGGGCCAAGAGGCCGAATTATTCTCACACGATGCGGTGTGGAACTGGAGTGACACAGACGTAATTGAATAGTTGTGGATTTGATTATGCAATTGTGCCTCAAGTGGGCAAGCGGACAGTCAATTTGCCGCTGGCCACAGTAGTTCATCAGCATTCCGACCACCGGCAGAGCAATAAATATTTTTAATTATTCATAAAATAAAAGCGAACACTTATTTGCCTGATTAATACAATTCCCCCCGCCCGTTGCGTTCCAGCGCTCCCTCGTCCTGCCGCAAATTAAATTAAACTCTTTTTTTTTATCGAGCCGGACTCGTTGCGATCTGGCTGCAATCGATGTTGAACGATGTCCAATGAAATCATCAGCACGAACAGCACGAGCTATATTCATTAGTTGCATTAATTCAATATGACATCCCTTGTGTCATTTGTTTTGATGTCACCACCCCGCATTCACAATTCTCCTTAATCAGCCCGCAAGCGATTGTATTTTAAATGATTATTAATTTAAATGCGTTTTATAGCTCCTCATGCGTAGCTTTGCCCTATCAAGAGATACAAAAAGTGTGCGAAAGCCGTCATACTTTTAAATACGCAACTATCTGATTGTTAACTCAACGTGCTGGCAAACGGATACTTTCGCTTTGATGCACATTAAAATATTATTAAAAACTAGGAAAATGTATGCATTTTACCATAAAATTAATCCTTTCTGCATTCTAGACATTTATTATTTCTGTGTTGCAGCAAACCGAGTTGTTTGTTAGTTAGAATCTCTAGAATTCCAAATGTTGTGAGCTTGCATGCATAAGTAAAAATCCATATTTCTCTGGTTCATAGAGTATCTTAAAAAGAGGCGTATTGAATATTTTCCGCCCAGTTTTAATTGACTTATAGCATAGTTGTGGCCATAGTTGCAGCAATTATTTACAAGCGTTTGCTATTAATGAAGCATGGCAATCGGAAAAATGACTGGCGTTAATGTAATTTGCCGATTTCAACAGTTGCATCCAGCTTTTGCAAATTAGCTCAGCAAAAAGCGAAAAAAAATGAGAAAAATATACCATTTACCATGGCATGGCCTGTTTTCCCACGAAAATGGGTTTTCCTCGGTGGAGGGAGAAAACAAATTATGTGGGACTTGTTTGTTTTGCAAAAATACTCACCCACTTGCGATTGGATTTCCGGGCCTAGACAAAAGTGCCTCGAGATGAAAATAGGGCTTCGTCATTTGCAAATTCGACAGTTTTCCTCGAGCGTATCAAATCAAGCCACAAACAGCACTTACAGGTATCGAAAGTCGAGGGTCCTTTAGAAATGGGGCTCCCCCCTTCCGCCCCCCTGACCAGAAATATATCCCAATAAATATGAGA